TTTCCAACGCTATTTTATCACACTTTACTACTTCTAAGAACTTGACATTGAAAGTTGGTTAAAACGGTTTAACAGAACTACCACGTAACAATCCTCATTACTTCTCGTTAGGCCTACTATAACATATATAAAACCAGTAACAATAGCGGCATTTATAAAGAAGAGTCCTCAGGCCTAAGGTAAGTAACGCTAATTGACGGTAATGTAACAAGGTCTAGTTTGGAGCTGCGAACATGCTGTTCTAAGGTAAATTACCAACTAGTCATGCTGTGCCTCATTCAGATTCATTACAGTATGTTTAACGAAGGAAGATGGAAGGGTTTAAACAGCATCATATTTTGAATCTGTCACGAGACTTACCTTACCCTTCGCGTATCATGACCCATATATCAACAGCTTCTTTCTCACGGTCTGCCTGCTCCTAAAACCCTTCATACGTGTTCACGGTTAAAGGGTGAAAAATCCGATTCACAACGCACAAAATAATATAATCCCCACTGATACAGATAATATGAGATCATGTAACATATAATTCATCTTGAATAAGCCCAAGAAAAATAAAATCTTGGAAATTTTCACAACTAAACAGAACGATGTGCCGCCCCTAAAACATTTGTAGTTATAAGAACTTTAGAAAATCGGCACGTCCAAACACAAGACTCTTGGTATGATTCAAGAATCTTACCAGCTTTCATCTTTAATAACCAATGACGTGAAACTGAGACTTACGACATCCGCTGCGCAAGCTGACTCACGAATCTGAACCGCACCCAATCTTTGTTTCTTTATTTCTTCAAAAACGTTTGGAATCTCATAAAACCATACTGCATCAATTATTTCTCGTAAATCTCCAATTACATCATAAAACTGACCACGCGGGAGTAGCTTGATACTGCCCAAAATATTTTACTAGATGCTACCAAAATTTGGAATGTTACTACTTTCATTTAATGACTTTTCTTGAGCCTTAAACTTTCATATCCTTGAAAATATAGGCTCATTAAACAACAACATTGGTGACTAAAATATCACTGTTCCAAAATATAGGCAATTACTCCACTCAGTTCATTTTTAGTCAAGTGATACATCTGGTGATCCGTCATATAATAAATGCAAGTTACTGTCATCCAACCTGCTCATAAGTTAATGTGTGGTAGAGACGGTTTGACATCTTAACAGTTCATGACATTTCACTTCAATATATAGATTATGGTCACTACGAACTACGAGAGCAGGCTCACGCCATGTTCCATGCTTGGAATCAGTATTGGTAAGGTCCGAGGTGTTCTCGACCACTCCTCTTAAATATCTTTTTCAAGGGAATCTTAGTGTCTAACATCACTTGACCGCATGTGACTCTCCTCCTCAAAAGCATTCCACTCCTGCTCGGTTTAATCTGGTGAGCATTAAAACCATTATGTTTCGTCAATTCCTTTTTCTTCAAGAAATGTGAGGATAAGTTTTAAATGGTATAAGCGAGTATTAACATTAATAACGTTAAAGTTAGGCCAATTGCTCCAGTTTATACCTTTATCTAGCTTCAGAGTGAATTGAAACGCAATTGCACAATAAATTATACATAATTCCACGTTGTTGGTCCAATGGAAAGTGGTCTTGGCAACATTGCATGTCATCTTTTTTGTAATTTGCTGAGCCAAAAATTCTTCTCATTGGTATCTGACATATAGGCTGACCTTGTGAAATATATTTAGTCTTTGAACAGGTATCCTACGACCAGCCCGGACAAACAGTTAGCGCCCATCTTCTTGTGCATTGGATGACGGTTTGCTTTGTCTAGGTGTACGAATAATTCTACGGTTTGAGTGGAAGTGGTTCAACATTTCGCTAATGACACTTTAATAAGACACTCATAACAAATTTGGTTGTCCATGTGAATGAAACATCCAAACGTCTTCTTTGAGATGTAGCGATGGTTCTCAAATAGCTTGGAGTGCTTAAAACGAACAAATGAGCCAAGATTTCGTTAGACTTCTATATAAAGGTACTGAATGACCAGTCATTTGCATGTCAAATCATATGACTGATCATTAGATCCCTTAACTGAAAAGCTGTGAACTGAGAGGTAGATGGGTTTTGCATTGTCGTAACTATAATATTACAAATTCTAATTATTTTAATAGCTTAGTTGTTTTGTGCAGTTAAAATGTATCTGGCTCTTGGAATAATTGTTTTGAATCACCATAAACTTTCGTAACTAAAACCATTTTTCCTATACTGAATAACCACAAATTAGCAACAAAAACAAGTACATGCAGTATGATTTATACAGCTATTCTAAATCTTAATGAATTTCCTGGTTCGCATCACGCTTAAACAGATTATCTATATTTACCTTGGACAATATATACAGACCCCGTTCAGAACGCAGGATCCCCATTGGGCTACTTTAAGAAACAGTTCAATGGTTATTGATAGACACACATATAGAATGAAAGACCTGTATACAAATGGTCACAATTTTGGTTACTTCCAAATAATAACTGCATATTATACATTTTCGTATTACATTGTCAAAGGTGTGAATATGAAACATTATTTTGTTTAAATGTATAATAATAAATAAAATCACCACTTTTTAAAAAATTAGATCATTACTAAACTAAACTCGTTCAATGATATATTAGATATACGATACGGATTATTTGTTCTTGAATGTGAAACGGAATTAAGCATGTCAAAAAAGTAAGTTTCATAACCGAATATACACACACTTTAAACGTCGTAACTCGTGTACATGAAAAGAATGAAATATGACAGTCTAAAGAACGTCCCTGTAGAAGTTATGCTTTGAGCATTATTAACAAACATGGCAGTTAAATACTGTAACAAAATGAGTCAGTCAATAGCATACATGATTAATCCCCAACAGGAAACGAATGTTTTCATATAAATATCCGGTATTGATTTGGATATTTTTTAGTCTTCCGAATTTTTTTTATTAGAAAGTATTTTATAAAGTGTTCAAACCTATGCAATGACGGGTTCATAACAGCGTCAAGCAACCAAAGGTGTTTGCATGAACTGAGGAAATCAATGGAAAAGACAAATACACAAATAAAGTGTTCTATGGACCTTACAATCATCACTTAAATTACATAAAACGTACTCAACAAAATTACTGCACATATGTCACTAGCTCATTAGGAAATATTTCAAGAGTGTACAATTCGGCAAAGCTTGTTTGTTTGTTTGTTTTAAATTTCGTGCAAAGCTACACGAGAGCTATCTGCGCTAGCCGTCCCTAATTTAGCAGTGAAATACTAGAGGTAAGGCAGCTAGTCATCACCACTCACCGCCAACTCTTGGGCTACTCTTTTTATCAAGAAAAAAATGGGATTCACCGTAAGATTTTAACAGCCCCCACGGCTGGAAGGGCGAGGATATTTGATGGGACGACGGGGATTCGAACCAAGGACCCTCAGATTGCGAGTCAAGCACCCTAGCCAACTGGCCAATTCGTCAAAGAAAGAGTTCCCCCTGTTGTTAACTGGATGCCTTTTTAATAGTAGAATCTATTCTGCTTTCAGCACTCATAAGTTTAGATTTCACAGTTCCCACGAAAAGGAAAGTCCTGAATCAACAGATCCTGTTTATATGTTTTAATGAAAAAATAATAATATATATATTTGTTAAGCCTCTCTTTACATATAAAACTTTTAAATCAAGAATCACTTCAATGGCTTTTTATGCAAAATTACCAGCATTTGAATATTCTTCTAAAAGTAACCTATATCTTCATGACCATATGCTAAACTAAGCTATAATATTTTATATTTTTTGATTAAATAGTTTAACGCACAAGCATATGGCATTTCAGGCAAGTGTTTTGCGATATTACAGTAAGCAACCATCAACGGGAGCAGTTAACTATCTTCAGTAATAGATGAATTGCTAATAAAATCATACTGCAAAAATATACTTGTTACAACTGATAAAAATGTAATAATAATAACATATATCTTAACACGAAAACGTACACGTACAAATGTGTAAACGAAATGTATAACAGTAGTTACCACAATATATTTCGTGTGCAAAAATTTCAAGCAGCATTTTTGTGCGATCTGAAGAATTTAATAAATACAAAAAATGTAGCTTATTTCATTTGCGATTATTTCCATTTTTAAAAGATTTAATACAAGGGGGTGGGGGTGGGGAAAAGTCCCATTTATCACAAAATGGGCAGTTATCTGCATTTTAAAATAAATAGGTTTTCCTGTATGTATAACTGAGTTTACATATTACGAAATATAAATTATGAATTATTCTAACATTAACTTAAAATATAACAACCAATATCTAACAGAAGATCGATAATTTTAAAGATATCGGTAATAGATGATCTGTTACTATCCTTTTCTTATCTAAAAATAAAATGTTAAGGGAATTCGCCTGAAAACAAAACAGGAAGACTTACCTAGATTGTTCCTCATTTGTCTGGCTTAGGTTGTTAAAAACAAGTTTAATTAATTTATAAAGAAAATTTAACCCGTATAAGACTGTACGAGATCCCACAAGAACTTATGGGTGGTCTTTTGTCTAAATTTAGTTTCGTTTGATTAAAATGAATAAGTTTTAATAACAATGGTAGACTAGTGACCATGAGGGGATTTTGTTAGCAGCTTGGTTGCATGGAATAGGTCCACAACTGATTCGACAATTCTAAGGTATATGTAAGACTTTTTATGTAAATTTTATGTCTCGTAGACACGCATAATACGAATGGAATACAGTTATTTTAACACATACCGACAATTAACTTTTTTTTTTATAGCCTTCGCGATTAAAAATATTTAAGTTGATAAAATTGAAATAGTACATAAAAACTTTGAGATTTAACATCTCTTTTGAATAAGTTATATATATTAGACGCTATTAAGTTGGTTTAACAAGTTTGGCAACTTCTCTCATTGCATCAAACGCAAGATAGAAAATTATCTTATTCATACATCGTGTAATAACTTCGTTCAAAATCTTACCGAGCTAACGTTAGTCTATCAGCATAAGCAGCAGCAGATTCGAGGACTGCTGCGGCGGAAGGACTCAAACTCGGTCTCGGCGGGGCCGGAGAAACCTTGGCGGTTAGTGGGCGCGTTTCTGCACCGCGGGCTGCCATGAATGGTTGTCGGCGCACTATCGAAGAACTAGGCAACACTGACAAGACCGAGTCCGATACAGCTCTCCTTACTCGTGGAATCCTTGCAGTCTGCTAGGGTTAATCATAACCAGAGGCGGTCTGCGTCATGGAGGGCAGAGCTGACAGGCTGGTTGGCCGCCAGCTATTTAAGCTCTATTTTTTTTTCTTCCCTCTTTGTTGACGACGGCAAGCACCAGCGGCGGTCCTGCAGAAAACCAAGGCCGAGCCCTCTTGAAGTCGGCAGTTGGTTAAGACAGCCTAGGGCTACTGGACCGGGATCGATGGGTGCGCGGCAAGCGGTCCTGCGAGCCCACAGCCGCACGCACTCAATATCGCACCTGGATCACCGCGTGCTCATAAAAGGTATTCGCCTAAATCTTCTCTTGATACCCCTTTTATAAATTGGCTTTTATTTTAATATTCACAACTACAAGTGTACCCATATCAATTTCTGATCCCATCGACTTTTACTCTTTTACATCCTATCCACCACAACAGCCGACGCTACCGATTTATTCCAGTCAACACATGCGTATTTCCCTAAAATTGCGTATTTGTAAATTCATGCACAACGCCTACATAGGATTTTTTTTTTTACATCCTAACAAACTATATTGATGCGCTTGAGGTTAAATACTAGCTAAATTAAGCCCAGTTTCTCTGTTAAGGCAGAGGGCGCCCAAGGCAAGGCGGTACTCGCTCTATCCGCTCCTGGTGACACTACAGACGAGACAAACGTACATACACATGCACATTCGATTCAAGAGCCTTGAGGGCGCTAAGCACAGAGGATTGTGAATTCACACAAAGCTACGACCTCCAGCAAAATTTTTCCTTTCAAAATTTCTTTTTCCCAGTTGCATCTCATTACCAGAGAAGCTGATGAAATGAAAACAGCTGCATACCCTTAGGCCTTAAACTGTCGATATAACACACTGCAGCTCGTAGGAAAATTCGAGAAAAACCTAACCACTAGTATAAATTTCACAGGAAAATATAAGTTTATGAAATTGTTTACTTAGTACCTTTTTTTTTTGCAAATTTATCGATCCAAGAAATTGAGATAAGAGTAATTTTTTTACGAAAATTTTTTCTTAAACTTCTTTTGTGCATTCATTCTTGTCTTTTAAAATCTAATGTAATAAAAAGAAAATGTTGTCCAATTTAACTGGTTTTTATGTGCAAACAGAAGTATGGCATTTCAACAGATGGTTGATTCGTTTAACAATTACTTGATCGACCAAGTCTAAAAGACTATAGTTGCTAACCAAACTAATTGTTATTTGGGACTGTGTTATACATGACGACATGTATGGAGTGTGACGGATTTATTATTATATACTTATTTTAATATCAATGTTTGTTTAAATTAATTTATATTTACAAGTGTACATAACTTATACTGTTAAATCTGTATTGTAGAAGATTCTCGAGTGGAAGAATCAACAATATGTGTGTACGTAAACGCTAGTGTTAGCGTCAATATTGTTACCTAAAACTGAAATTTCGAGAAACTCTACACACGCCTATAAATATAACCAACGCGACGCGCCAAAAAAACGTTATACATTATTGGTGTGGTATAGTTGGTATACTATAAACCTCGGAAGCTATAATTGTGATTAATGCTTATTAATTGGGACACTTCAGATATTTGACCAGGATCATTTATAAATTTAGAACATCATATACCATTAAACTTCAGTGGATTTACATCGGGCATTAGTACTTTTACAAAAGATATTATATACCTTCAGCGGATAAAAAACTCAAGCTCGACCTGTGATCGGCGTGTGATCAGCGAGGCTCACAGAACTAGCTAGTTCCCTATGAAGTGAATTATACCTACGTCAACTCGAAATTAACTAGCTCATCGTTAACCCTCGATAAGATATCCAGGAAGTTTCAGACCAGAAAGAAGACTTTATATTGTTTGTAAGTTTATAAAATTTTGTATATTGTATATATATATATATTTGTCTGTAATAACTATTTATAATAATTGTTATTGTAAATTGTACTGTTGTGTGTATACTAAAACGTATTTGTGTTAACAACGAAAACGGTGGGTATCAATCTTGTTGGGAAATATCATAAACTGACTATATATCAGCATTTATTTAACTACTAAATCCAAAGTACAATTTAACTCAGTTTTAGGTCATTCGAAAGTGTAATACGTAACAGGAGGGAGGAAATGGGTGGGAATTGAGTTGATAAACATCACTAGCGAGGTAATGTTATCGTTCAATGTAAATATTACGCAAAGTCTATCCGCAGTGAAAGTAATTAACTCAATGGTGTAGGAAGGAGTTTCAAGTGGGGTGCTTGGCTAGACATGCATATTTTACAATGTGAGATTGAAAGTATAAGGAGCTGCTAATAGCAGCTCCCGTGCTGCCAAAAGCAGCTCAGTTTAGGATGGGGTCTGGGAGCATGACCCCAGAAAATTAATAAAATAATTTACAATTCCTATATAAGTCAAATATGTAAAAGTGGGAGTGCAACTGTAATATAAGGTACTGTAAAACTTTAGGCTGAAAATTGGGACCTCACGCTGTGAGTGTGTATGAACATGAAAAACAAACAGATGAAAGCTTACAAGATACAGGAAAGATTTCTAATATACTCTTAAAAGGTTTTAAGTAGTTGAACAATTGATGACTTACTTTTGGACAGTCTTGGCTATCGAATCTGTCACGAAGTTGCATTTCAAATTGTGCACGAAATGTAAAAAATTAATCGATAACTTTGTCTACGTAGATGGAACCTGTTGCATGTGTCAAAGTGAAGAATCAATGAGAATTATCCTGATATTTTCACAAGATACGCGTAACAATGTTCACAGGGAGCAGCTGAACCATTTTTTATCATCTTCCATGTTATTTACGGTGAACATATTGAAGCGTTACGAATCTTAAATATATTTTGCTAACTTGTAATTTAAGTCAATAATTAACAAAATACTTGCCCTTGAATTCCCGGCTTTGACACGGACTGTTGAGCTGACACTAACAATGAAGCAATATTTAATAAGACAATTATTCAAAATTTCTTATATTTTTTATAAAATTTTTATCTAACAACAGTTGAAAAAACAATCATTGAAATCAGTGTGAAAAATCCTCATATTACAAAGTAGGTCCATATGATTTCTGGGAATAAAAATAGTGAAGTATCAAGTAGGCCTCTATGTTAAGCAAAGGGTTAAGTGTATTACCCATAGAAACCTGATCATATAGAAGGCATTGTATTGAATCATGTACTTGACTTAATTTTAAAGGAATTAAATCTAAAGTAATAAACTTAATTATACCTATCCTCTTAAAATAACCTGATACTTATGAACATAAATATACTGTAGCTCGAAATAATTGACAGTCAAAATTTGAGTTCCATATCTCGAAGTAATTAAGGAAATTAAATCTAAACCTATACAGACTATATCACAAAATAATTAAGGAAATTAAATCTAAACCTATACATACCATATCTCAAAATAATTAAGGAAATTAAATCTAAACCTATACATACTATATCTCAAAGTAATTAAGGAAATGAAGTCTAACCCTATACAGACTATATCTCAAAGTAATTAAGGAAATTAAAAATAAACCTATACAGACTATATCTCAAAGTAATTAAGGAAATTATATCTAAACCTATACATACTATATCTCAAAATAATTAAGGAAATTAAATCTAAACCTATACAGACTATATCTCAAAGTAATTAAGGAAATTTAATCTAAACCTATACGAACTATATCTCAAAGTGATTATGGTTATATTCGTTTAATAATCATCAAGGGTTTTCTTGATACTGCCAAGCACAAGAGCTGACTCTGGGAAATACTAAATCTCAGAAATACTAAAGGTAAAGCAAATTACCTGGATTTAGTGATCAACATCGTTGAGGAAGTATTTCAGTTTAAAGTTAGCAATAAAACAGGCATTTGTAATTCTGAAAGTATAAACTTTCCATAACCCAATACAAATATTCGAAATAATTTATGTTTACTACTCTCACCTTATTAGATACAATAGAATTTGTTCACGATTAGAAGATTTCGTGGACACAATTCCTAAACTCATTCTCATTTTTCACAAACTAGTATTCGACTATTGCAGGTTTATTCATTTTTGTGGCAAATTCTACAACCTTTTTCCTACCGATTATGGGCTAATAAATTTACAGAGTATCACGACCTTTTCAAAACTTTCACGTCTACATTTTAAATTCTTTTTTTAAAAAAATGTTTAAGGTATGAAGCATTGTAGTGTGGCGATCAGCATTAGTTTTAACTGCCGTTAGTTTAAGCTATTATATTTAATGCAAGCTGTATAAACAACAATTCCTTACATCGTATAATATTTCACCATTATTTTCTGATAATTACTTTAGTTAATTGTGAGTATTTCTTTTCCTTACTAAAAGCCCCCCAGTAGCACAGCGGTATGTTTGCGGACTTACAACGTTAGAATCCGGGTTTCGATATCCATGGTGGGCAGAGCACAGATAGCCCATTGTGTAGCTTCAAAAACAAACAAACAATCCTTACTAAAATGTTTAACTTCGGTGAATGAAAGCAAAAATCCATGAATAGCGTAGAGTCCTAAGCTATTCTTTGTTAATTATCTCTACAGCTATTAATTCAAAATAATCTTGATAATACAAATATGTAAACAAAATATTAAAAATTAAAAACTTTAATTGTTATATTTACCATTATTGCTACTTCCTTTTCTAATTTTTCTGGAATCTTACTGTCTATAATTTTCGTCTACTATTTAAAGTTTAACCTTTCTGACTGCTCACTCCATGTATTATAAAATACGCGGATTATTTAAATTCGAATTAATTGCGTTACACACATCTTATAATACGTTTAGTAGATTATTTTTTCTTTTTATTACCTTTACTTTAATCATGTTTTAATTAGAGTACCAATATTCCTATTATTTGGCACATGATTCTGTTATTCATTTAATTTTTTATCTTCCTAAACATATTTTTTATTTATTATTATATTTTACTTTACTAGCTGTGTTTCTCTGCTAACCGAATATATATATAGCTGAAAAGTAACATGTGGAA